GGCCTCCATCCCACTTCCTAGAAGCGAGCTGAGATGGCGAGAGCACGGTCGCACTGGCAGACCAGGAAGCGGCGTCTGTTGCAATGCCTCTTCTAGATACCCGTAACTCGAGTATGCACAGCGCTGCCCCGCAGGCTTGGTGCCGCCTCTATAAAACAACATGCTCCGGCCAAGCCGCTGGCACATCTTCTTTCGGCTGGTGCATCGGGTGGGAGAGATGCAGGTGTGCCGGCAGCACGCGAGGAGGTAGGGCACTGCCTCACTACAAAATGAAAGCAGGGAGTTGCCAGTAGCAGCTGTCAGTGCCTGTAAAATGTTCTCTCTAAGCTCATCTAGCGCTTTTCTCTTCTTTTCCTTTGTTGTTACCCTTTGTGGAGTAAGCCAAAGCTTTGAGGGTACTAGAAATTGGGAGGTGTGGGGGTGGTGGTGGTAGGGGGAGCTAGGGTGATGAAACTGGAGAGCATTACAGTAATGTAGAGTATATGCTTTTTGTGGCCATTTTTCATTTCTGTGCAAATAACCTTAAGCTGTGACTTCTCTCTTCATATATGAAGGAGACAGAAATATATTATTTGTGTTACATACACAGGACATTTTGAAATTATGCAGTGATACTTTTTTTAATTACTTTTGTTGAGCAGAACTAGTGTGCCTTCAGTTTTGCAGTTAGTGATTTTCATAGCATCTTGTGTGTCGCCCTGCGTGAGCAGTGAATCGTGCACACAGCTAGTGAGGAAAAGGCAAACGCTTTCAAAATAGGAAAATTTGACTGAATGCTGGCAGGAGCTCAAGAGCAATTGCATACTCTGAAGAGGTACTCTCAGTTTAGTTTTACAACAGAGTAAATGTCAGGGTAGCTGTATCCCCTTCAAATGAAATTGTTTGACTGGGGCAAGCACTGGTGGTGTGGCTTTCTTTGGCTTGTGCTTCTTGCGTGCTGAAAGTGATTTGTAAGAAAAAATTCAAACTTTTTTGCATTTTTGCTGTGAATCCTACATTGCTTTTGAAAGCCGTTAAGGTTCATGTCGCTCAAGATTCACACCTGAAGTCTTTGCGTCCTCATTGTCACAAGTGGTTCCGTGTTACTTCATTATAGGATTGCTTAAATAGACAAATCGGTTAGTGAAGGGCTTTTTTTCCTCTTGACTGCCTCTAGATAGTATGTGTACTTTTTCAAGGGAATCTGAACTGATCAGTTAAGAGGGATTCAGGATTTTGGCAGTCTTGGTGAAAGTGAGAGGCAGGAAATGTCTCACGAAAAGCAGGTTAGTAGCAGTTATACCAAAGTTAAATTGATTTTATTAGCTTTTTAGACAATTGGAGGGAAAAAATAGTTGGTGTCAGTGAAGAATGGCAGAAGTGATAGGACTGTTAGCCCCCGTGGAGCAGCAGGACGGTTATTTACGTGAATGGCTGCTACACACACAGCTGGCTGGGAGGGAACGGCAAGGTTCAGCATCTTCGATGTGGGGTACTCCCCATGGCTGTCCAAAGACATGTCCAGGTGGCTTTATCTTGATGAAGAATGGTCTGTTCTCTGTGGGTTATAAATGTTACATTTTATTTTTAATCTTCCAGAAACATCATTTGACTCACTGAAGAATTAAAACTGACAGCACCACAGAGCCGTGTGGGAGAAAAGGGGATTTTAGACTCAAGTGACACAATCAAGCCTTGAGAAGTAGAGATTTGAATGGTTTCTCACCAAATGGAAGTTATCTAGAGAGCCCCCGAGACCGCTGCATCTCTCCATCCCACTCCTGCTGCGCCCAGACAGTGCTCTTGACCCTGGACATTAATAAAATGCTGGATTCAATCAAGTGTGTCCTGGTGGGAGACTCCGCGGTGGGGAAAACGTCTCTCTTGGTACGTTTCACCTCTGAGACTTTTCCAGATGACTACAGACCCACTGTATATGAAAACACCGGAGTGGATGTCTTCATGGATGGTGTACAGATTAGCCTAGGTCTTTGGGACACATCTGGCAGCGATGCCTTCAAAAGCATTCGCCCCCTCTCATACCAACAGGCAGATGTAGTATTAATGTGCTACTCAGTGGCAAACCACAATTCCTTTCTGAACCTGAGGAACAAATGGATTGGCGAGATCCGCAGCCATTTGCCCCGCATCCCCGTTTTGGTAGTGGCTACTCAGACTGACCAGCGTGACACGGGGCCCTACCGTTCCTCCTGCATCAGCCCGATAGATGGGAAGCGGCTCGCCCAGGATGTGCGAGCCAAAGGCTATTTGGAGTGCTCTGCCCTCAGCAACCGAGGGGTGCAGCAGGTGTTTGAGTACGCCGTGCGGACAGCAGTCAATCAAGCCAAAAGGCAGAACAGGCGAAAGCTCTTCTCCATTAACGAGTGCAAGATCTTTTGAGGACCGTCAGCAGTGGGTTTGCCCGCGTTCGTCCTTTCTTCGCACAAAGATACTGTGGCAGAGAGAATGGGAGGTGAATCAAAGGAGGACTCCTGGCAGGACCACAGTGCAGGTGGCCCTAGTGAGACAGATGTGCACTCTATCTGATCTGCTCCCCCCCAACACACGTGGGCACTATCTTGAAAAACGAAAGGTGTGGGTACGTGCCCTTATTCACGAGCCTGTTTGGACTTTGCTAGCCTGGACTGGAGCGGGCCTAGCCTGGAGATCTGCAGATAATAGCTGTGCTGATTTTGTTGTTGTTCTTGTTGATGTTGTTCCTCAGTTGTTGGTTTGTCCGCATTTATTTAATGACAAACTTCTGCCTGGATCAACCCCCACCTCTTGACATGTCTGTCCATGTGGAGTTTTTTTTACTTTAAGAACTTAGTGTATAAAATCTGACCACTGTGTATTCTATTTAAAAGACTCTTTTATACATTGTTTTAAAATCCTGACAGTTTGTTTTCATATTTGGAGGTTCTTCCTTTAGCTAACCACAGAAGCAAATTGTCCTATCTGTATAATAAATGGCCTGCAGGCAAGCCTAGCACTTCTTAGACATGCCCGAGTCACTGCGTAACAGTAATCAAATCCAGTACGTCCAGCATAGGAGTGATCAAAACTTAGTGACGTTTGACAGACGTCCTGTGGCTTTGTGGGATTTGTTATCTTAGTCTTGTTCCTCAGCAATATGGTCAAAGATGGGACGAACCAGGAGGAAACGAACCTGATTATTCCTAGACCTCACCTAGTTACAACCCCAGAAGGGCTGGCTTGCAGTCAGGGCTGGTTCAGACATATGGTTGGGGTGGCAGAGATGAGTCTGTGCTATCATCACCTCTGTTGTCCCTGCCATCATTCTGGAGGCAAAAGATTTCAGTCTCCAGGGATGAAAGGTATTTTTTCATGAGCACTAAAATTCTCAAAGTATTTTTAGTACACTTCTTTTCTGAACAGTGGTTTTAGTGAAACCAGTCACCTACTATAGTAAAAAATTAAGTACATGGCAATGTTGAATGTGTATATTTAGAATGGCTAAATAACATTTTTTCTGAGTTTGCATACTAAGTACAACTGTCTGGGTTGTATCAAAATAAGACTGAAACAGGCTTTGCATCCTGGGGAGCCTGGCAAGTCTAAGAATCAAATCCTGACGTACCTACTCGGGCCAAGTTACCCTCCTGCACAAAAAGCCAGGCTAAAGAGGTGGAAACTCCAGGTGTGTAAGAGAACTCTGCTGGAAGATGGGGTGGGGTCAACATGCACTGCTGTACGTTCCTCGTGAGTTGTGGTGTTCCCCTCCCCAGGTTATCTGCCCCTTCTGCCCTGCACCATCTCAGGTCTTGCAGATCTGTCTCATCCCAAGGTTTCTGCTGACCATAGAGGAAATCCCCTGGGGAATTTCTTAGTGCAGCAAGATTTTTTGGTCCCTTTCCCTGTCCTTCAGCTAGCTCAGAACTGACCTTTGAGGGGCTTATAGCACAGTGCCATAAAAGATGGCACATAGCACAGTAGGACAATTTTTTCTCCACATGGATTCTGAGAGAATGACCTGTACCTGTTTTGACTGAGCCCCGACTCATGTGTTTCAACAGGAATAGAGGCAGTGGCTTGTCTAATTCAAATCCAAGGTGGAACTTCAGGAGGTACCCTACTAAGCAAATAAGCTATAGCTCAGATCTTATCTACCTATAGTTTTTTCTTGAAAAATTGGTTGGGTGCTCTTCGCCATGCTCTGTTCTACCTCTGAGCTTCTCTATAAAGAAAAATTCCAATTTAAATCATTCCCCTCCTATGAATCCTGGAGATGATCTCACTTGTGATGTAAGTGAGCAAATATTTGCATTGCGGGCACCTTGAATAGCAGTGGTGCACAGGACACTTGATGTTGTGATTGTCCTGCCAGCTCCCAGGCTGGTGAATATTTACCACTCATCAACCTTATTTTAAGGGAGGCTTCTGGTCATAAAAACATACTGGTCTCTCATGAGGTTTTCATATCAACTTCAAATCTTTACAACCTTCTGCACCCAAGCACACTAGACGAGGGCTCCCATCACCACCCATCTTTCCTGTACTCTTTCCTACTTCTCTTTCTCTTTAGGTATTGATTGCAAATCTTTTGCCCCCTGAAACACTAAAACTGACATGTTTGTAAAAGAACCTGAATGGCATGATACTTATGCAGAGTTACACAAGTGGCTAGGTATTTGCGGTCCTTGGTTAAAAACCTTTTGGCTTTTGGAAGAAATATGTTTCTTCATCTCAACTCTTGCAATGCCTCTTCACTGAAAATTTTGCGGTTTTGTAACCTGAATTTAAAAGTAGCCATTGTTACTGTTTGAACATTAAAGATCACATGCAAATTGTCACATTGTGAATCTTCAAATCTGTTACAATTGTGGACATTGTTGTTACGGTCCCCACTCCACTAACGGATTTAATACCTGGTTTCATCAACTTTTTTTGAGACATATTTTTGCCAGCATGTTCTATTAAATGGTCTTTTTTGTCTGTGGATTAAGCTTTGTTTACAACACTTCATGCTGCCGTTTTTATGTGTTGAAGAACAGTAACTGCTAGGCCAGGATGCTGTGTTGTGGTATCTGCCACGGGATGCTGGATTCAGGGACCGGGAGGCTCCAGAAAGCTTTGTATCAGACAAAGCCAGATGAAGATGCGCTCCAGGATCACATCATAACTGAAAATTCCATCTTATCCTTATTTGCTTCACAAGGCTTGTTATGGTGTATTACAAAATGAAGAATTGAAGGTTTGCTTGCAATTCAGTGAAGCAAAGTGGATAGGTTTCACTGAGACGCCTGAGCTGACAATACGAGATGCACAGGGAATTTAGGGGTGGCTTGATATACTCTTGATTGTGCATCCTAGAGCCAGTGCAAGGTGTGAGGCCACCGAAAGACGGCTGGTTTTAAAATCAGATTGGAGACAGGGTAAAGTAACGGGGGGATTTTGGTTTGGTGCTATGTGAAAAAAACGGTTCAAATTTTCACAGCCTGGTTATTTTCAGACTCTGAAAGCTAAAAGGCACTTTTCACTGGGAACAAACTGTGAAGCACATTATTTTAGCGTCTGTTTTATGCAGCTTTCCCTGAGCTATAGAACTGATGTGCCCAAAAACTGTGGCAACTCAGATGCAGAGAGTGGAATCTGGACATAGCAGAACTCAGCAGAAGACTCGGCCGAATGGCTTATCGGGGTGGGGCTCACACAACGGCAGCCGTGCTGCATGCGGCGTGAACAGCGAGGAACTGCTGAGGTCTCCCGCGAAACCCTACCAGGCTGGTTTTGTTAGCGTTACTTGGGCAACAGGGTCCCTGGGTACGGCTCGGTGGTAAAAATCTGGCTCTAATATTCAAAATACATTCAAACGACAGCTGGCATACATGTTAAGTTTCAACTCCTTTTGCTCTGAAAAACAGCAGGTTGGGGGAGACCGAAACAATGTGCAGCGTCGCCTCAGTCGGGTCGAGCTGTTCAGCTAAAGGAAGAGACCTTGCCCAAATGTCCCCTTTCTGTCTTCTCAAACCAATCCCTTTCGGTTACTCCATTGCTAATTTTACTTTCACTTGCTATTAAAATAGGTTAAAAGTTAAAAAAGAAAAAAAAAAAAAGAGAAAATACCTGGAACCTAAAATGAGAACAGCATTAGCACAGTTATTTTTGTCAGCGTCTGACTTCTTTTGACAGAAAAAGTCATTTTGGGCCACTAATTGTTTTACTGAATCATTCAAGTCGGATAAAAAGTTGAATAGATAGGCAATTGTGATTTAAATCAGAAACTACTCTTTTAGCAGAAAAAAAGAAGCATTTTCCTTTAGTAATTTGCAAAATGTGGTGAGTACATGTTACATTATTTTAAACACAGACTTCCCAGCCTTTTTATACTTACTTGGTCTGTAGCATACAATATAAATATTTTCTAAGAATAAACAATAAAAACGTGTTTCACATCTTCCCCCCCGATTTTTCATATGGGAAGTTATTCAAGCTTGTTAGATATAATTGATAGTGTTTTGCCTGATATTTGCAATTAACAATTTGCAAATACTTGTGTAATTTTTGTGGGTGCTCTGCAATTGCTAAGGTATCTGAACACATACTAGCTAATGCTTGTATTGATAAAGAAAATGCATTTAAAGTAGTCTTTTTATACACGGCACCACAATGAAATAAATCACCACAGGGATCAGACATGAAATGTCGGCACTCTGACATCTCAGCCTTTCCTGTATTACTATTGCATTCAAGTGAATACAGCCATTAAAATAATTTCAAATAAATGGGGCAATTCATGTCTCTTAGCACTTTCTCCTAATGCCTCTGCTACACAGGGCTCAGGTTAATATACAAAGAATAAAAAGCTTCATTTCAGAACATGATAACGGCTTGTTCGTTCTTGCCTTTGTGAGCAAGTTAACTACCTTGACTTAATTAAAAGTCAGTTCAGCCTCTGAAAAAAGCCAGATATGAGCACAGTCGGGTTAGCCAAACTCCCTTGTTAGAAATGACAGTAATGAACTTTTGTCTCTGGATGTGAGAAAACGTATTTTATGTCTCGGAGATTTCCTTCACAGCTGTAAGTGCAGAAAGTCCTGACCAGCTATCACTGTGTACCTGTTCTAGCTGACCTGTGCGCCCTTCACGTTGTGCTCTGAGCAGCCAGCTGTTGAAAACAAAACTCAGGGAGAAAACAACCTTTGTGCATACCTAGATGTTTATATTGCCGTAACCGCTTAACTATAGCTATGGTGGTCTTTCCCCTGCCCTGGACCTCTCGCTCCATCGCGGCACGACCATGCAGCTGCTGCGTGCCAGCGCGGTCCGTGTTGCCCGGGAGGCAGAAGGAGAGCTTCGCCACCAGGCAGCCCTGCCCACGCAGCCCGAGGGAGAGGGGTTTTAAGCAGGACAGAAGCGATGCTCCTCAGGGCTCCCCCTTACCAGGCTTCACAGGCAATTGCCCTACTGTGCAAACAGAGCTGGCCCTGCTGTCACTTGCAGGTGTGCTTGCAGTAACAGATTTATTTTGTGTGCCATTTCTAAAATCAGTGTTTCTCTGAGTCATTACCCAGGCCTGGTTTCTGCAGGCGCTGTCGTGCTGG